TTTCCATTATTGTTTTGTTGTTACTGCTTTGTTTTTTGAGACGGGGGGGGGGGGATATATATATATATATATCCGATTGCTCTCACAAAAGCAATCCCCTTATCCAGTGCCAGAATTGCAGCCATCCCCCTGCCTAGTGCCAGAATTGCAGGCATTCTCCCCACCTGGAGTCAGAATTGCAGTCATGTGCAACCACACCTGGCTAAAGCATTCCCATGACTCCCCCTAAGGAACATGGCTCAGTTAATGGTATCATGCCAGTTTCTTTGTTTTGATCAAAGTTCCATGGGGTGTTTGATGCTGGCATTAGAGTAAATTGTATGATTACAGGGACACTTGCAATTTTGCTGCAGGTCCAAATTCTTCAGGATAAGAAAGTTGAACAGCAACAACAAGGAATAAAATAATACAAGGAGGTCTGTATCTTCCCAGGCCACTGTAAAGCAATTAGCTTCCATCAGGCTGCCCTGCCCAGAGTGTCCTTATGACACCTTGACTGGAAAGAAGCAGCTAGAAGGGTGTGAAATGTCAGAGATCTTAGCCTTTACCTGGATTTTCAAGATGGTGAAGCTGCTGCGTTGTATCAGGAACTGGTAACCTGAGGAGGATGGTTAATATCATTGTTGGAAGGAACAGTGAAAACCTCAGAGAACTGGAGTAGAAAGGCCTTGAAGCCCCTCACCCTCTGTGCTGAGCCTTCCTTCTACCACTGCTCAGTCAGGAGAGTTTGGCTAGGAGTTAGTCAATTGGGGAAATTGTTATAACCCATCAGAGAGGTACACAGCTGAGACCACACAACATTGGAGGTGGAGGTAGGAAAAGCAAGAGCTTAATGTTATCTTCCACTGCATTCTGAGTTCAAGGACAGGCTAGCCACTTAATAGCCACACACAGCTGAGCTGCACTCACAAAACACTGCCAAGCATTTGGTTGAGCCACAGCTGATCCAAAGGAAGTAAACAAACACCTGAGTGTAAATACAAAATCACTCATGAAGCTCCCCCCATTGTGCTTCTACTGGACAGTGCTGGTCTAGAAGTACAAAAGCAATGCTAAGGATCACTCCTTGGGGGAACAGGGGAGCTTCAGTGAAGAAGGCAGAGACTGGGAGGGGTTTACGTGATTTAAAACAAATGGGACCTAGTGTGGGGGTGCATGCCTCTCATCCCAGCATGCAGGAGGCTGAGCAAGAAGGATTACAGCAGATTTGAGATCCAGCTGGACTACATAGCAAATTGCAGGCCAGTCCTAAAGTACACAGCAAGAACCTGTATCAAAAAAATCAAGCAAACCAAAAAGAGAGGAAAAGAAAAAAGAAGGTCCAAGTTCAAGCAATAGGGCAGAAATTACAAAGGACAGTATGTCAGTGTATAAATTATAAGACTAAAATATAAAGTTACAATAATATAACTCAAAGGTGACACGCCTGTCATTATCATGTTAAAATAATTAGCTACTTTAACCTGATACCTCATTACTACATGTGAATAGTTAAATAATCCATTTTAAAAAATAATAAAACCTCATTGTTCTTTTTCTGGAAGAAGAAAAATCATATAAACAGAAAAGATTAGTATACAAATCCACACAAGGAATTGACCACAGAGGAAATAAGTGACTTGAAATACCCTTTATTTTTTATTACAGTTATTTATTTTTATTGTGTGGGCACGTGTGGAGGGTCAGAGCACAGCTCGGGGCAATCAGTCCTTCCTTCCACCATATGGAGTCCTGAGATCAAATTCAAGTCATCTGGCTTAGCAGACAATGCTTTCACCCACTGTGTCATTTTGCTAGCCAAAGCGACCTTTATTTCTAACAGCAGTAGACATGGTTAACACAGGACACAAAAGATCCAAAAGCCTGGAAAGAACACTTCTGACTCATGCTTCCTCTTTGCACAGGTCTCCAGATGAAAACCAAATGAAACTAAGCTTTCCTCAGTCTTGAGACCCCTAGATAAAATGGTTAACTTCCCCCTGCCTTCCCTACTTCTCATCCCAAGAACATGGAAGATCTCAGAATGGCTACGCTAGGACATCTCTTCATCTCAAGAAGGATCCAGATTATTTGCCTAAAAATCTGGGGATATATCTAGATTCTGTTCCTTTTCTGTAAATCAATAGATCACCTTTGGGAGTGGGCATGAGGGCCATCTGAGCTCCAAGTCCTACTGTTGTTTGATAATGAAGTTGGATACTGCTGGAAGTGGTATTGCACAATGACTATATTTCTCAAACTCAAGTCATGAGCTTAGAAATGAACACATCCTATTGTAAGTTGTATAGTATTTTCATAAATATCAATATGCTATTTCCACAAGCAATGCTATATTTATTTTAAAGGGGGAAATTATTCATATAAATTGACTTGCTATTATCAGAAGAGCCACTGAACTGTTTACAACTTATGTCTTGGGAATTTCACATCTATAAGTCATGGGCTAGGCAACCTCCCTTCTCAGAATCTGTCTGGTCTAATAGGAAATGCCTAAGCACTTGTAAAAGCAAGCTACACTATCACCACCACCTCTACCACCACCCCTTCTTTTTCTCTGAGACAGGGTCTTGTGTAGCCCAGGCTGGTTCTGATCTTTCCTCATACAAAGGATAACCTTAAATATAGTAAGGATGGCCTTGGGCTTCACCTTCAGATTTCACCTTCAGAGTGCCTGGATCCCCACCATACCCCACATATGCAATGCTGGTTTGTGCATAACAGCAAGTACCAAGAATTTGGGTCTCAAATTTGCTCTGCTATGCTGAAAGCCAGTGAGGCCAGGTGATTTACACACACACACACACACACACACACACACACACCTCAGAGATGGGGTTATAGACATGTGCAAGAAACTCATCTTGTTACATGGACATGGGGTTCTGAACTTGAGCCTTCAATAATTATAGAACAAATGTGTCTACCTGCTGAGGCATCTCAACAGCCTTTGATTTTTTTTGCTTCTTGGGAGGGTTTATTCTTGGTTTTGTTTTGAGATAAGGTCGCATGAACCCCAGACAGCTTGAACATGCTTTAAGATTTGAATTTTTTAAATTATTATTTAACTTATTAGTATTGTGTGTATATGATGAGTAGTGGTGAACATAGGCTCATGAATGCTGCAAGCTAAATGTAGAGGTCAGAGGACAACTTTAAGGAGTCTGTTCTCTCCTTTCATCATGGGCTTCAGGGATCAAACTCAAGTTGACGGGGGCTTGAGGATACAACTCCACTCATTTGGCCTTCACTGGATCATTCCATCCACCTCCCATCTACCCCTTGTTGCTCATTTGTTTTAATCACTTTTTATTTGGCTGCCCTGTCTCTCTCTCTCTCTTGAATTTATTTCTATATATTAGGTTTTTTTTCATTTTTCATATTACGGTGAATTGGATTTGTGTTACATTTTTAAAGATTTTTGTGGTTGTAGTTGTGTGTGTATGTATGTGTGTGCATACATACACGTCTGGATGTGGTACACGTGCCTAAGCATGTGGATAAAGACTAGAAGAGGGGATCTTGTGTCCTCCTCTATTCCTATTTCCATGAGGCAGGGTCTCTCTCTGAACATACCATGTGGAATGGTCTCACTCACATTTAGTGTAGGGCTTCTCACTGCAGTTAACCCAAACTAAAAAGTAACTCACGGACATGGCCAGAGCTGAGTCTCCAAGGTGATCTTAGATACCATCAAGTACAAGGTGATCTTAGATGCTATCGAGTTAGCACTCAATATCAACTATCTCACCATACAATCAGCCATTCTTCTAATTCTCTGTTAGGCAGGAAGCCAGGAAGCCCCAGCCATCCTCTTATCTCCACCCTTCTCCATTAGGGTGACAGGCATGCAGTAGACACCTGTCTTATTACACAGGATTTGAGTTCCAAACCCTAGTCCTCATGATTGCACAGCAACCACTCTTAACCACCGAGCCATCTCTCTACCCTCTTCCTTTTAAAGGCTTTAAGTTACCCCTTTGCTATTTACTGGGCCACTTATACTAATTCCTTTGAACCATCCATCACAAACACTTGATTCTAAGTGACTAAAGGTCCAAAACTAAGGGTTCTAATTCCAGTTTGCTGCCACCTTCTGGTGCCCTTGACCTTGACCTATTTTCTTTGATGACGACAGGAAACAAGAGAACATTGCCATAATACTTAATTTGACATTTATAAGCAAATGAAAACAAAAAACAATCAAATTTTTAATAAAGCATGTAAAAGGAAAAAGCTGAAATACTCTATGGTATAATTACTGACTTACGTATTTTTTCCCATATGCTAAGCAGAGAAATATACAATTCTAAAACATTCTTTCTTGGCTTTAAAAATGTAGCATTATCTTCTGGCAACAGTACAAACTTTGTGGTAGAGATTTTTGTTTTCTGCTGTTCTTAGAGACTAAACAGTGCCCAGCAGGAAGCAGTTACTAATAAAGATCTCCTGAATGAATTGGGCATTGATGGCACATGCCTTTAATCCCAGCACTCTGGAGGCAGAGGCAGGAGGATCTCTGTGAGTTTGAGGCCAGTCTGGTCTACAGAGTGAGTTCCAGGACAGGCTCCAAAGCCACAGAGAAACCCTGTCTCGAAAAACAAAACAAAACAATAAAAGGTCTCCTGAATGGATGGATATGATCTAGATATTTCACAAGGTCAGAAATGTGATTCATTCTAGTGTCCCAGTACCAAAGTGCCTGCACTTTGCAACTACTTAATAGTGTTTGTTGATAGGCAAGATAGACTCAGCACTCAGGAGGAAAAGGCAGGAGGATTAGGGGTTCAAGGCCATCCTGATGAGTTTAAGGGCAGCCTGAGATAGGAGACCGTATTTCAAAAACCAAAAGCCAAAAAGCAAAAGCTCTCAGAAAAGCTACCTGCTTCTTTTTGTAACCATATCCATACCATGAGCACTAGTTAGTTTTCTAGTTGCTATGACAAAATACCTGACAAAAGCCTCTTTAAAAGGAAAAGGTTTATTTTGACATATGAGTCAAGAGGACATGGTCCATCATGGTGGGGAGACATGGCAGTAGGAACAAGAACATGCTGGTCACATAGCAATGGTAGTCAGGAAGCAGGAAGAGATGGGTGCTGGTGCTAAATTTTCTTTCTCTTTTCATGCAGTTCAAGACACTAGCCCATAGAATGACCCCACCCACATTTACAGTGGGTCTTCCCACCTCAACTACCATAATCTAGAAAATGCCTCCCAGATCACCAGAAATTCATCTCCAAGGTGATTTTAGAACCTGTCAAATTGCAGTCAATAAACTATCACACCACATAAACAACCACCCCACCCCACTGATGTAAAAAGTCCCCTGCAAATACTAACACAGCAATCAACTTTGTTTCAATGCCCTTGCTTAGAGTCTTTGTCCAATGAGAACATTGATGGAGGAAACCATAGATCCAGTTTAAATATGCTCAAAGTCCTTCCCCAATAGTTTCACAACTTTAAAACATTTGTGAATACTTTGCTCAGCTGCGTGAGAGTTATTATCTCTATTTGATTTTTGTCTACTTCTCTCCCTTCCATACCCACCTAAGAAAGCCACGACTAGATAGATGTAGCCCAAACAACAAAATTCATACAAGAAAAACTTGTGCAAACAGGCAGACGCCTCTGTCCTCTGATCTACAAATGTCGTCTGATCTACACAGCAGTTCCTCAGTGCAAAAATCTTTCGACAAAGCTATCTTTCTGCTCATTTAATTTTTCCACTCTGGGCTGCTTTAATTAGGTTCTGTTACATTATGGGAGCCAACACAGATCAAGCCGTGGGAGCATATCACCATAAGCCAGACAAAATCCATCTCCACTAGCTCAGATATTTGGGTTGGTGACCACTGTCCTACCAAAGGAGCTGAGGCTGACTATACAGACTGCCACCAGGCCTCTGCCTTCTTTCTGTCAGCAAGGAAAATGTGTGCCCCAGTCACTGGTTCTTCTTCTGTGAAAAACACAGCTCCAGTTTCCTCTGTGAGCTTGACAGGAGAAGTTGCCCAAGGCACTTCCCCTTCAGCACACAACAAGCAAGGTTGGACTTTGGCAAAGAGTTTCCTTTTATAGTCACGGGCCAGTGAGGAACCTTTTCTTTTCATGAAGGAGGGTCTGGCTGTTGTAGCACAGGATGCTCACAAACTCTCCTTCTTCAGTCTTCGAGTGCTGGAATTAATCACAGGTCTGCACCACCACGATCCCACACAGGATGTAAAGATACACATCATAAAGAGGCAGCAGGCCCAGAGAGAACCGCCAAGAGGCCAGGCACTAGCAGGCAAGACTAACACCATTTTAGACTGGACACTATCTTGAGAAGCTGCAGATCCATCCCTGAACCCAGCTTTCGAGAGGAAAAAAAAAAAAAACTCAAACAACTAAAAGTCGTTCCAGGACCCTCATATCCTGCTGAATCAGCCTGACCCTTAGGAAACAGACATCTTATTATGGTCACCACATGTCCCAATAGGTCACCAGATGCTCTAGTGGAAAATTCCAAATGCTTACTTAACCCCAGGGCCAATTGACCCACGAAGTACACACCCAAGGCTTGCACTGCCTTAGCTTGAAGTTTTTCCCAGCTCACTCCCCTGTGGGTTCAGGACCCTCTTCTCACCCTCTGCATGGGAGTGCTGCTGGGTGACCCTAACTCAAGTTAATTTTTTTAAATAAACCTCTGTGTGTGGTGGTTGTGTTTGGGGGTCCCATGTCCTGGGCGTAAAACCTTCACTACTGCTAGTCCTGTTCTGATCCTTCCTTCCTTTATTTCTTGCATATGTAACCGTGTGTGTGTGTGTGTGTGTGTGTGTGTGTGTGTGTGTGTGTGTGTGTAGGTATATTTACATATGTGTGTGAAGACATATTATCTTTCCTCAGGATCACAGTCAACCTTATTTTGAGATAGGGGCTCTCAGTGAGTAGGAACTTACCAACTACGCTAAGCTGCCAGGCAACCAAGCCCCAGGGATCTGCTTTGGTTTGGTTTTGTTTTGTTGTTTGTTTGGTTTAGTTTGGTTTTTCAAGACAGGGTTTCTCTTTGTAGCTTTGGAGCCTGTCCTAGAACTAGGTCTTGTAGCCCATTCTGGACTCGAACTCACAGAGATCTGCCTGCCTCTGCCTCCCGAGTGCTGGGACTAAAAGCATGTGCCACCAACGCCTTAGGTTGCCTACATCCACAGAGAATTGCACCTATCTATCTTAGCCTAATATTCCCCCTATGTTTCCAGGAGCCTTGTGGACATATAACAATCCTGACTGTCCCAGTGCTCCAGAGACATCAGACAAAGAATTCTTAATGTGTGAAAGTACATGTGAGCTTCAACATCCATGATTAGCAGTCTCTGGGTTGGAAGATCCTATCCCTGAACTCAGAGGTAATGGTACATTTCAATATAGCATAGGTTACAGTTGAATCCCCTTATGAGCTAATTATCCCTAGGAAACAGGAACACTTTTCTCAGTGGCTGTGCACAGAAACCTCAAAGCTTTTTGAGTGACATATCTCATAGTTTTCAGAAAGGAAAATACCGAAGTCAAAAATGAAGGGGAGCTTTAAAAAGTGACAGCCCAGAGATGGTCAGGATGGCTGCCCACTGCTGGTGTAACAGTAGTACTCATCTGAATTCTGTATCTCATAGATGTTCTCCTCGATGGTATAGATATTTTCCTCAGATCGATTCCTGCCTGCTCCTGCATTCGCTAGCCCCACTGGAGGGAGGTTGGCCAGTGTGATGAGGCTGTGAAAACAAAAAACTACAGTTGATAGAAGAATCCCCAGACAACAGAGAATAGAGTTAAAGGAATAGTCTTCCCTGATGACAGCAGCCAATTGACACCCATTACCCTTTACTGGATGCTCCCTGAAGGGAACCCTGAAGGGAATTGTGGGGAACAATTAAAAGCATGATTAAGGGCATGTAATTATTCTTCATTTCCTTAGGTATGTAAACCATAGGTCCTTAGTCTTAGGAGTTGTGGGCTGAAGTGTTTGGGATGTGTCCAGATGCCTGCACCATACTTAAAAGTGGTTGAGAAAAAGCCCATGGCCTACTGAGAACTAGACAAAACAGGTGTTTCCAAATGTCAAGTAGGAGTTGAAGGTGAAGTGCTTTCATATACCCTGTGTGTTGTTTCAAATCTCTGTGAGTTCCAACAGTTTGAAAGGGAAGGAGAAAGTGTGAATGTATTACAGACACACTCAGACTGGAGTTAGAATTCTGTGTTTCTTTGAAACATCATGACTCGGTTGAACTTGTTTGTTTGTTCATTTGTTGGTTTATTTGTTTCTTTGTGGTTGGTTGTTCATTTGGTTGGGGTTTTTAAATTTTTTTTTTAGTACTACTGTACAAAACATAGGTTTCACGACAACCTTTTATAGCTATATATTCTGTACTCTGCTCGCATTCACACAGCTCATCATCATCTCTTGTGCACCTCCTCCTCTTCCCAAATAGTCTTCCATCTATTTTCATGTCATTCATATAAAATCTTTAATTCAAGACTGTCACACACTGTTCTGTGCATCTGTAGGCTACAAGAGTGAACAAAATGCATATATCCATAGATGTTATACTTTAGTAATCCTTGTGCCTCAGTTTTCTCAACTCTAGAAACGGGAATAGTGAGGGCCCAGCAGCGGGACTGCTGTGAGGAGCCCTGGATCTCATTCATTAGAGCTGATCACTGGTGTTTATCAGACACTGTGCTGGAGTTACAGAAGTCACACACACCACTCTGGCTCATAGTTCGCTATCGGTTTTCAGTTACAAGAGGAGCTAAATATCGAGCACATCATTTCACAGACAATGAACTGATGCCTGTCGGCATTACCTATGACTATCGTGTTTCCAGTTCCATTTCTAATGAAGAATAATGGTGCTGCTAATTAAATACTGTGTGTGGATTTATATGACCTTTCACTTTATATTACTTTGTCTTTGGAATATTCTGGATTTTCTTGATTCTGAACTAAGAGGTGGGTCCTATATTCACCAGGTAATCATATTTCCATTTGAAATACATTGCAATTTTTCATGTATTAAATCTTACTGAAACCATAAAATATGGGAGTGTGTGTGTGTGTGTGTGCATACAAGTATGTGTGCATGTGTGTGTGTGCAGTCAGGAGTGAAGTAATGATGAGGCTCACCTGAAGAGCTTTGAGAACAATACCACCTCGAGCTCTGCCCCCAAGATCCCAATTCAATTCCTTTAGGTATGTCCCATATCAGCAATATTAGTGCCTAGGTCATCTTACCACACTACCACAGTAGGAAATGCCCAGTCAGGGCTATAAAAACCCCAGCCACAGTGACTTGAGATTTGCTTTTTGTTGTTGTTGTTCTGTTTCTCTCTCACATGTTGATAACACCATGAAAATAGTAAACACTCAATCAGTTAAAGGTTCAAGTCAGTGGAAATTAGAGATAAAAAGTATTTGTTGGTAATAAGATGGCAAACTATATACCTCATCTTTAGAACTGAGGAAGCTAAATGTACAGGAGGACAACTATACATTGATTGTTTCATAAAGGAAGTCTAACCTAATTTTCAAAGCTCTGAGTAAGAACTTCTCAGGGGAACAATAAAATCATATGATAGTAGGGGTTCCCAATACCATTTCCCTTATTCCATCATTCTTACCTTGAATTCTGTAGCTTCTTTTTCTTATAAGAATACCCTAGGTAAAGGTGGAAAAGAAAGCAATTAATGCTTTTCTAAGATAATTTGAAATAAAATGGACTGATTGCAGATGAGAGTTGCTTGCTGAAGTTTGGCCTTGCCTTTGAACAAATTAAATCCACCTATCAGTAATGTCTACTGGGGCTATGTTAGCAGTAATAATGTGGAATTCTTCCTTAACAAACAGAAAGAAGATTATTCCGTGTGTGGGCTGCAGTTTGGTAGGCACCAAAGACACACAGCAGGAATTGTGAGCTCTGACTCCATGAAGTATGCATCTGAGTGAGGAAAGAAGGAAGGAGGAGAGGGAGAGTGGAGGAAGGGAAGGAGAGGAAGGACAGAAAAAAATAATTTCTAATTGCACTGTGTTATGAAATGAAACCAGCACCATACTAAACCATAACTAGAGAAGGTTAGGCAAGCACATTAGGACATGACTTTTGAGGTCTGTTACAAAGGATAAGAATGAGTCACCTATGTCTAGAGCTAGGAGAAATATTACAGGAACAGAGAATGCTCGGCAAAGACCTATATTGGTGTCAAAACCAAAACCGTGACTAGAACAAGAGAGTGGCCCCCAATAAAATTTGAGTGGTAAGCCGAGGCTTGGTCCGGAAGATCTTTTCTGTTACTACCCTGTAATTTCAGTCCTCGGGATGTGCAGGTAGGAGGATCAAGAGTTCAAGGCTAGCAAGCAATACCTGAGATCCATCTCAACCAAATAAACCAACTAAACAACAACAAAGAGAATTTGGACAGATGAGACAGGAAGAACTATATCATTAATGGCAGTATGATCTGGATACTGTGTAGAGAACTGATTAGGAGAAATAAAAACAAATAATCAGCCAGGCATTGGTGGCACAGGCCTTTAGTCCCAGCACTCAGGAGGCAGAGGCAGATGGATCTCTGTGAGTTTGAGGCCAGCCTGATCTCCAGAGCTAGTTTCAGGACAGGTTCCAAAACAATACAGAGAAACCCTGTCTCAGACAACCAAAACCAAAAAAAAAAAAAAAAAAAAAAAAACCAAACAGACAAACAAAAAAAAAGCAAGATGAAGAATAATGAAACAATCTTAGATATGTTTTTCACAGAGACTCTGACTGAAGTTGATTACATATTAAGATGTTGAAAAGAGAGGGTTCTGGGATGATTTCTGCATTTCTAGAATAAACAAGAGAGAGAAAGACACAGAGAGAGAGTGAAATGTTGGAGATGTCCAGGGCCTGACAGTTGGGTCCTGATGGATGGAATATGGAAGCAGGAGCCTTGTTTCTGACATATGAATGTATGAACCTTCAAATTGAACATACCAAGTGGACAGAGAGACAAGCTACACCAACATTTTAAGAGTTGAAAAGATTAAAGAGAATATTTAAGTACACAGAATATATGTTATAAAGTAGAAGGATCACAAAGAGGAAAAAGTCCAGATCGTGAGGAACTTCAGCTGCTAGACAAGGCAGAAGAGGAAATATCTAAATATTGGGGAGACTGACTGACCAATCAAATATAGCAAATAGTGTTTCCAAAGCCAAGAGAAGACACTTTAGAACAAAGTATGGAGCCTACCTGGGATATTATTGCAGAAATACTAACCACAATAAAGACAAAGCTATCCATGGCCATTAGGAAAATGAAAGCAATTGGGGATTAATTAAAATTGTATCTGTGACTCTTTAAGGATAGAAGTGAGATTGGCAGTTCAGAAGAAAACTGTAAATGGATAAATGAAGACTTGGCACAGTAAATAGACCTTTAATATATCCTTGGTTTGGAGAGGGTTGAAGAAGGTTAAGCAGTATTGAAGCATGGGTGGTCATCTAAGTCAGTAGACCATCCATCCACTCAAAAAGCAGAGGACTGATGGGTACTTCCCAGCCAGCTTGTGCCTATAATGTCATGGCTTAAGTGAAGGCCACCTCATTTGTCAGATTGCTACCCACAAAAATATTATAAGATGAACAGAACATTTTGATCTATTCCTTAAAACAACCCTCTATGCTAACCCTTGTTTCTCTAAATCCACTGTGGTGGGTTGAGGAACTCCTACAAACACCAAAATTCTAGTGTGCTTAAGTTCCTTGTATAAAACACCATTAATACCTGTCACATCCTTTCACACTCTTTAAATGATCTCTGGATGGCTTATAATATCTCTCGTGATATAAATGCTATACTTAAATAGCTGCTGCCTTCTTTGGGAGATTAAAAGATATATATATATATATATATATATATATATATATATATATATATATATATATATAAATTTTGACTTTATGGTTGAGTCCACACATGTGGAAACTGTGTGCACTGAAAGTTAGAAGTTATATGTGCTTTAGATTTCACCCATGCCTCTTTTAAAGACAAGAATAAGCATGGATTTATTAAACAAAAGAGAAATAACTCCCAACATGGGGTAGGATTCCAAGGGAGGAATACCCACCTACCTCCTTACCTTTTGCTTAAATTACAAAAGTCCCTAATTTCTAGGTGTTGGAAGAACTCAAAAAGTAGTTCATGTTATCATTTAGATTTCGTGTTCAAGTGATCAGTTCCCAGTGTTTACTGCAGTCTCTGGGCAAGCTCACGTGAGTATGTATGGGGTTCTTTCTTAGGAAACACCATTTACCAAAAGTGGTAGAAAACAATCAGGAGAAGTAAGGCTGATTTCAATCCCTATGTTCATCAATTAACTGTATGAATTTGAACATATTATTTAACATGTCGGCATGCTGGTTGCCCAAGCAGATTTCAGTGGCACCTAGTATATTTACATTGTATATTATAGTTATAGGACCTAACCTCCTTAAAGCCCTTGGCAACTTGAGTTCCCAGTCTGAATGACCAAGTCATCCTGGTTTTTCTCAGATGGCCCCAGCTTTACCAATAGAAGTTCCATATTTTAGGAAGTTCCTTTGGTCTTGTGAAAAATCTGAGATGGCTGATGACTCTACATAGATTGTCCCTGTTGTGTGTTAAGGACTGTCAACTTGTAGGACAAATGATTGTTTAGTCTAACCACCATCAGGTTTACCTTAAAAGTTATATTTCTATCTAGGTTTGCACTTGTTCCTATGGTAACCGTTCTTTATCAAAAAGAAAAAGAAGCAACATCCAGCAACTTACATTTAAGGATTAAAATACCAAAGATAAGAGCCAATGCCAGCCCAGCAGAGACCCCTACTCCAATGTAGATAGCCATTCTGATGGTTTCTCCAGAGTCCTTCATATCATCCGCCCATGTGGAAATCTGCTGGGGGCAGAAAACGGGAGCCAAGCTTGAGATGTCCAGAAACTAGTCATCAAGTCTCATGATTCAGGAGAAGGGCCACCCTTTTTATGGTTTCTTGGGATTATAGGAATGATAAAGCCCCCACCCCCTTGATCTATCTTCTTCTATGCTACACCAAAGGAATGAAATGTGTTAGCTTAATGTTTGTAGTTAGCAAGGAAATAAAATGCTCTCTCTCCAACGTTGTAGGTATAGAAGTCACTCTTTACCCTACCTGCACCCATCCCTACAGAGAGGCTTTATAGTGGAACCCTATTGCTTCAAAACTGTGTGTCCGGAGGGAGAAGTCCCAGAGTGGTCTACATGGGAAGTCTTTCAAGGAAACCTCCATTCACACAGAAAAGCAGTGCTGTAAGAACCACAACTTTGCAACCATACAATCCTGGGTTCAAATCTCACATCCCCAAGAATCCAGTGTTCCTGTGGAGTCATTGACAAAACTAGCATGGAGCCTGTTTCTTAAGGAACACTCAGTCTGTTGTAAACACTACTGCTGTTTCTCTCATTTCTGATACCAGGGAGTCAAACAGAATATCATTCTAGTTCTAAAATATAAGTTCACATTCCACCTTCAAAGACAGTAAGTAATAGTAAAGAAACTTGGGGGGGGGGAGAGAGAAGGCCAGTCAGTCATGGTACTGAACATCCATAATGCTAGCACTCAGGAGGTTAAGGCTGGAAAGTAGCAAATGTGAGGCCAGCCTGGGCTACATATCAAGACCCTATTTCAGAAAAACCAAGATGCTCGTGCACATACGGGAAGCACTAATTTGACTCAGTAGGTTATGTATGACAACAAGAAGACATGAACTTGGGAGGAAACATAAGGGGGAATTGGGAGGGGGAATGAAGTGAATATTATTGAAATACACTGTATTCGTGTGCAAAATAACCTAAGAACAAATAAAAACTACATTTAAAACAATACAACAATAAGCAATGAAAGCAATAGATCTCAGAGGTTAACTCCCCCATTTGATCACTACACATTGTTTCTATGGAAGCAGAATTCCTGTGTACAAGCACTGTGGGTTAAGCACTTGTGAGCAACAGAAGTTCTAGATGTCCCCTCTATCTCAAAGATGGGTGAGACAAGCACACAAGACGCCAGGCACTGACTGCGAGCACACAAATAAGAGTTTGAGTTAGATGAATGCAGGCTTCTAGACACAGTCCTAAAAAGTTGATTTTATTATCCGTATCTATTGATTACTGGTATGTGTGTGCACATGGTGATTAGAGGACAATTGTCAGGAATCAGTTCTTCTCCTTCCACTAGGAGTTCTAGGGATCAAGCTTGTGTAGTCAGGCTGGGTGGTGAATGCCTTTACCCCCGAGAAATCTCAATGTCTAGTCACTGCAGTTGCTACCACTGGCGGGCTTTTTAGTGGTCTTTTCCCTGCCTAGTTCAGTACGTAATAGTTCAGTACATAAAACCTTGCCTCTGGGTATTCCTGAGTGATGTCTTGTACATAAAGATGAATTTAAAAAAAAAAATGTGAAATTTGAGCTCTGCATTCCAGCACTGTGGAGGAGGATATAGGAAGATGAGGAGTTCATCGTCATCATTGGCTACATAGTAAGTTTAAGACCAGCCCAGACTACATGACACCTTGTCTCAAAATCACAACAAAGCTGAAGTGGCAACCCTGGAAACAAAGTCAAGGAACCTTCCACAGTGACACATGTAGTAAAAGATGAATGCTCATTTCTTCTTGGTGGTTTTTCACACTTAGCATGTGCCAGAAATGTCATACTCATATCCTACTTCTTAACAGGTCTATATGGTCAGACCTATCATTGCCAACACATGAAAGCCACAGGGTGTGAAGCCGAGAAGGGTAGAAGCTTTCCCACAGAAGGGGTGGCATGAAAGAAGTCTGCAGCCAAGCGCAATGTTAGCACACACACCAAAGTTACTTACTGTTTGATTTTTATCATAGAGGGTCCCCAGAGTCTGTGTCTCTGTCACACACATGCACACATACAAAGGAGAGGAAGTAGACAATAGTTAAGAATGCTTGTTTTTACTCCCAATCAAAGAAAAGAATTAAACCTATTAGTAATCCTGTTTACTAATAATTCTTCTCCATATGCTCCACTATAATTAGAAGACCAACAGAAGACACTGTTTGCATACAAACCAATCTCCACTACCTGTTAGGTCTTAAATCCAAGATAAATGTTTAATTTGGTGATTAAACAGTACAAAGAGAACCTGACTGCCAGGTTCTCCTAGCATCCCCCAGTTCCTACCTGCTACAAGAAACAGCAGGCATGCTTCACTCCCTTACCCTGAACTCTCTGGCCCAGGAGCTGGGCTGCCCTTCCCTATGTAATTCAACCCTTTTGGCAATGTCAGCCTTTTTTAACTTTTACCCTCCTGGCCTCTTGGTTTCCTGGTCCTGGCTTTCCCCTCTGCCCTCTGCCCTCTACTCAAATGGCCCTGCTCCAAGTCATGTTCACTCTGGACTCTCCCAGATGTCTCTGTCTCTGGATTTTTCCTCTTATCTATAATAAGTCTTCTCCTCCACCATACATATTTTTTTTTCATTCACTATGAATGTTGTAAGAAATGGAGACTTGAGCCTGGAAGACATTCACTGAATATATCCTTGGTTTTGTTCAGAGGTCTAATGAGTGATACAACAATCCAGTAACACTGATAACATTCAGTCATATTCCAATTAGCCTTTCAAAGACACTAAACTTTTGAAAAAGGTTACCTTTACTCATTGCCAAGTTACTTAGTTGTTTTCAAATGGAAACAATTGCTACAGCTTACCAGGAGCCAAGCATTTTGCCCAACACTTTTAATGAACTATCTCATTCAGTATGGAACAGAACTATTCTAAAAATACAAACTTGTGGAAAATGAATGACTGAGTGATGAATTCATCAGGTCTGAGTGACGAATGGGTCATCAAAGAAACTGGGAGGAAAATTAACAAATTCCTCAAACTGAATAAAAATGAAATATAGTGTAACTTGCAGAATATAATGAATGCAGCTATAAGAGGGAAGCTATGTAAAGGCCTACACTTTTACAAAATCAGAGAAACCTGAGGTAATAACAATTTGCCTCAAGGTCTTAGAGAAAGGAGAACAATTAAACCCAAAAGTAGCATATGGAAACAATAAACATTAGGGTAGAAATTAATGAAATAGAATCAAAAGGACCAGTACAAAGAATCAATAGAAAGATGAACAAAATCAGGAAACTCTTGGTCAAATACACAAAATTAGAGAAGGGAGACATTATGCCGGGTGGTGGTGGCTCACGCCTTTAATCCCAGCGCTTGGAAAGCAGAGGCAGGTGAGTTCAAGATCAACCTGGTCTACAAGAGCTAGTTCCAGGACAACCTACAAAGCCACAGAGAAACCCTGTCTAGAAAAACAAAAAACAAAACAAAACAAAAAGAAGGTGAGGACATTACAATAGCTAAAAATGGCACTTAGAAAATCATTATGACATATGTTACATTAAACTGAATATATAAAAGAATAAATTGGTTTCTAAACACATATGACCTACCAAAATTAAACCAAGAGAATCTAAACAATGCCATGTAGCCACCAATGAATAGCATGCCAGAGCATTATGGGTAAGCCACAGCTTCGTGGCAATACATAGTTTAATAAAAATGCTTTAATAATTAAGAGAGAGCCAGCCAATAGGAAGTCTGAGCCACTGGCCAAACAGTTTATAATTAATATAAGCCTCTGTGTATTTATTTGGGACTAAACAGGGCTGTGGGACCAGGCAGGACAGAAAATTCCATCAATAAGGGTGTCTATTTTCTCCATTCCTACTTGATACAATTTTTGAAGTCCTAGATAGAACAATAAAGAAAAGAGAACAGAAACAAAAGGGATACAAATGGAGTCAAAGTATTCCTATTTGGAGATGACACAATAGTGTTTGTATGAAATACTAAAGATGGAACCAGAAGACTATCTTATAGAGTTAGTTGATCATTTCAGCAAGTAGTAAGGACATAATCAATACACAAAACTCATAGCTTTCTTTGTGCCAATAACATGCACAATGAGAAAGAAATCAGGAAAACAATCCATTAACAATCGCTTCAAAAAAACAATATACTGTTTGGGTGTGGTGGCTCACACCTTTAAACCCAGCATTTGGAAGGCAAAGGTAAGTGGGTTTCTGTGGGATCAAGGCCACCCAGATCTAGACTGTGAGTTCCAGGACACTGTCTTTAAAACCAAAATAATACAGGGGCTGGAGAGATGGCTCAGTGGTTAAGAGCATTTACAGCTCTTGCAGCAAACCTGGGTTTTGTTACCAGAGCCCACATGGTGGCTCACAACCTACTATAACTATAGTTCAAAAGGATCTGAAGCTGTCATCTAGCCTCCATGCCCACCATACACGCAAACAGTGCACTTACAGACATTCCAGCAAAGCACTCACACATAAAATAAACATAAGTAAACAAATCTTTAAAAAAAAAAAACTAAGATAGAATACCTACAAATAAACCTTATCAAGGAATTAAAGAGTGCTATAATCAACACTTCAAAAGAAATTGTTGTAGGGTGTGTGCTCCTATCTCCTCCTGCTTTCTCCTCCCAGCCATATCCCTTCCTATCCCCACCTTCCTAGTGCTAGGATTAAAGGACTGTGACTCCCAAGAACTGGGACTGAAGGTGTAAGCCATCATCCCCTGGCTCCGTTTCTCTTTTAGACTGGATCAATCTCGTGTGCTGAGGGTGGCCTTGAACTCGCAGAGATCCGTCTGCCTCTGCCTCCCTAATTCTGAAATTAAAGGTGTGTTCCACCACTGCCTGGACTCTGTGGCTAACTAGTAGCTTAGCTCTGCATTCTTGTCTTCAGACAGGCTTTATTTGTTAAAGCACAAGCAAAATATCACCACAAAACACAAGACTACAAAAAGACTTCTCATAGACCAGCAGAAATATGAAAATATCTATCTTACCAAAAAGAGTGTACAGGTTCCATGCAATCCCCATCAAAATCCCAATGGCCAATCATCTCAAAAATGGGAGGAAAAATTCCCAAACTCGCTAAGACCTCTAATAGAATAGCAGTCCTGATCTCAAATTGTACACAGGGACCTGGTGATAAGCAGCATTGAAGTAACACAAAGCAGACAGGTAGCTCAACTAAACAAGATGGAGGGCTTATAAACAAAGCCACACAGCTACAGACAACTGCTTTTTGACAAAGGTGCCCAATACACAAACTGGAGGAAAAGGTGCTGGGGAAACTGGACTTCTACATGTGGAAAGACAAAGTTAGATCTTTCACATTCAGTACAAAAATCAATTCAAAATGGGTCAAAGAACTTAATATAAGAAGTGAATCATCTTCCTTCCAGACTAATGTGGTTTGATCAAGCCAGACCGCCTGAAACAGAGTACCAAGTGATTGTACATTCAAAACAGCTGGACAAAGCAGCCTTATGGACTACAGCCAGGATTTCTGCATCTTCTTAGAATCCCCCATGACAGCGCCCCTTACCAGCAGGAAGTAGTTTGGAAAGAACGATGCCCAAATTCCCAAATATTTTCTATAAATGTTTGTTTTCATTGAAATGGACTTGGTTATATAATATATATATATATATATATATATTATATATATAAAGAAGAAGTGAATCATCAAAACTTACAGGGACATACTTACAGGTACCAGCACAGACAAAATTTTCTACAAAAGGATTCCAAGCATAGTAATTAAACCAAGAACTCACAGATGAGATTGCACAATATAAAAAGCTTCTATAATAAAAAGATAGCCTACAGAATGAGAGATCTTTGCTAGCTATATAGTTCACAAAGGATTAATACCTAGAATATATAAAATAAGAAAACTTCAAAAGCTAAGATTTCTAAAACCAAAAGAAAAAAAACAACAAAAAATGGGTTAATGTCTGTTCATTACATGAAAAGATAGCATACACTTGGCCAATAAGTATGGAAAAAATTATTCAACATCCTTTATATTATTGAAATGAAAATTAAAACTACATAGATACTCTTGTTAAGATATCTATTTACTTGTGTGTGTGTGTGTGTGTGTGTGTGTGTGTGTATACATGTACGCGTGTGCATGGTATGTATACCTGTGAAACTCAAAGGAAAGCCTGTAGGATTCAGATATCTCCTTGCAACATGTGAGTAGGTGCCAGGAACCAAACTCAATCATCAGGCTTGGTAGCAATGTGCTGGCCTAACAATCACTCCAGTCAGTGTGGTTTATCATTAAAAAAATAAATAAGGCCGAGAGGTGGTGGTGCACACCTTTAATCCCAGAACCCAGGAGGCAGAAGCAGGTGGTTCTTTGAGTCAGAAGCCAGCATGGTCTACAAAATGAGTTCCAGGACAGCCAGGGCTATACAGAGAAACAAACAAATAAGCAAGAGCTAGCAACGATAAGAAGGAAAGGGGAATCCCTTACACTGTTGGTGATCATGTAAATCCATTCAGTCACTGTGGAAATCAGCGCTGAAGTTCCTCAAAAATAAATCAATAATAATCTGAAAAATGAAACTGGGGAGTGGTGGCACATGCCTTTAATGCTTGCACTAAGAAAGCAGAGGCAGGTAGATCTCTGAGTTTGTGACCAGCATGATCTACAGAGTGAATTCCAGGACAGTTAGGGCTACACAGAGAAACCCTGTCTCAAATAAAAACAAAAACCAACAACAACAACAAAAACAAAACCCTCTAAAAATAAAATTACTACATGACACAACTATTCAAGGATTCTAAGTCAACATACCACAGAGATAACTTTGCACATTCATGGTTATTGTTGCACTAGTCACAATAGCCAAGTTACAGAATCAACCTAGATGTCCATCAATACATGAATGGACAGAGAAATTATTACAGGGGTGTGTATACACACACACACACACACACACACACACACACACACACACACACCCTGGAGTGTTAGCCACAAAGAATGAAATTTTGGTCTCTGTAGGAAAATAGATGATGTTAAATAAAATAACCCCCCATACACACTCAGGAAAACAAATAATGTGTTTTCTCTTTTTAGTGAATCCTAGATCATATATAAATATTGTTGTGGTTTGCATAAGAAATTTCTCATCATGCGTGGTCCCCAGTTAGTGGTGATGTTTTGGGAAAAATATTGGTACCTTTAGAAGGTAAAGCCTTGCTAATGGAAACACATCACTGCGGGCTGGGTTTTGAGGGCATATAGTCTCATCCCATTTCTTCCTCCCTCTGTCTCTGTCTCTCTGTCTCTCTGTCTCTCTCTCCAGTGTACAGATAAAGTGACATTACTGCCAGGCCTTCTAAGCATTATAAACTCTATCCCTTAGGAAGTTAAAGCTGAAGTAAACCCTTTCTTCCCCCAAGAGCTTTTAGTGTTTCTGCCTGGAGAGCAAAAAAAGCAAACTAGAACAGATGAATAAAATCTTTCTAGTGGAAAGAAACAGAGGTGAGATTATAATGGGAAAGAAGGTGAACTAACTCGGGTAAGGAGAAGAGGGAGTGAATGAAGGATGAATATTGTCAGAATTGATGATCTCCTTGAATAAAAAAGTCTTTAGGAAACCTGTTCTCCATATAGACACCGATCAAAACTTAAAATTAAATAAAAAATAAAAGCAAATCAAGTGTTCTAACGAGACTGTTAGTCATTTTGGACCAGAGAAGACACTGAGAATGAGAGCTTCACCTGCTTTGTGAGCGTCTTCCCATGTAGGCTCACAGAGCTTTAAAGCTGCTTTTGTAATGCCAAGGCCCTCAACAGCCTTACCCAACAATGCCACTAACATGAAGAGAGTCACACAGCTCATCTGCCAGCTACCAGCTGCCATCTCTCCATCTCTCCTTCTTCATCTGCTCCTCTAGCCAATGGCTGTACTAATTTACACCAGGCAGAGGGGGCAAGGCCACAGTCAAGGCAGAAGTAGGAGAGCCTGTGGATACTGCATGGTGAAAACAAGTAGTTTCCAGAAAACTAGGAAACCCCTTTCATGTGGCCACCTGAGCCAGACTGTGGAAAGTCACAGTCACATTCTTGAACCCTCAAAATCTAAACTCCTCAAGATGCATGAGGGCTTTTAGCAAATCTGAGCCTAACTGACTATGGTTTAAATACTTCAGAGACAGTCTCAGCTTATCAAAGGCCATTTAAAGATTTAAAGCCTGAAAACCACAGGGGAGGAACTTCAGAATAAACAGGAATTGTCACCACATGAAATGTTTGAAAGGGAAATCTCACTTCTGCTTCCCCAGTATCACAATTCTTGATCTAAGTGACAAGACAGACCTGTTCTCTCTCTTTGTATGTGTGTGTCTGTATCTCTCCTCCTCTCTCTGTGTGTGTATGTCTCTGTCTCTCTATGTGTGTCTCTGTTTCTGTCTCTCTCTTCCTTTTTGAGACCATGTCTCATGTGGTCCAGCTTGTCCTCATACTTTACTACAGTAGGGTGACCTTGGTCTCCAGGTCCTCCTACCTCTCCCTCCTGAGTGCTGGGGTTGCAGGCCTGTGCTACTATACTTGATTATGTGATGCTGGGAATAAAACTCAGGGTTTCCATAGCTAAACAAAGAATCTGCCAATTAAGTTAACTTCTAGCCCTAGCCCTGACCCCTTTACTTTTTTCCCCCATTTTTTTTTTTTTTTTTTTTGCTATAAATAAGAATAAGAGATGTCTGTAATGTTGTTTTCTTTTTTTCTTGGGGAATCAAAGATTGCACTAGAATATGGGCAGCACAAATAAGGAATAAAATGGTCATGAATGTATACAGATGCCACAGTTACTGTATACTTGGCACAGAGGTTCTAGGGATGTTTCTTGGCACTACTAATCTTTTTATAGTCATTTGGTTTGGGTTTTTTTTTTCAAGACAGGGTCTCTCTCTGTCTCTCTTTGTCTCGCTTTGTCTCTCTCTCTCTCTGTGTGTGTGTGTGTCTCTCTCTCTATCTCTCTCTTTTTCTCTCTAGCCCTGGTTGTCCTGGAACTGGCTATGGCATGGAATTTACAAAGATCTTTCAGCCTCCCAAATGATGGAATTAAAGATGTGAGCCATCATGCCTGGCCCTAATCTTAATAATATGTATATGTACCACTATTTTTCCACTTTCAGATAAAGAAACAGACTTTTATTTTATGTTCATGCGTGCAAGTGTGGGGGGGGTTGCCTGTGGATATGCTATAGTATACATATGGAGTTTAGAAGACAATCTGTGGGAGTTCCACCATTTGGGGACCTGGGATCCACTCAAGTTGACAGCCTTGGTGGCAAGGGGCTTTATCTGCTACACTAACACACCAACCCAGAAACAGGACTATAGAGAGGAACTCTCTATAGAGAGGAAACGAAATTTCAGACAATTGGGGCAACACTACAGAGATCAGAACTGGTCGGAAGAGCTGGATTTAAGACCCAGTTTACTCCCACTGCAGCAATGAACCATTTCCTCAGTCTGCCTGTTAACAGTGTCAGTGACAGGCGCTAATGTACCCTGAGAACACACTGTGAGCAGACACTGGACTAACTATTATGGACTCATTTTCTTATTAAAATCCCACAGGATGCAGCTTGTGAGATGAGTCTTAACCTATTTTTCTTTCCTGTTACTGAAAAATGAAAAGAGCTTCATAGAGTTTAAGAGCAGAACTCTACCCAAAAATACGATGAAATTAACCTCCCTGGTCCATGTGCTCTGAGATAGCTTTTCTGTCCTGTTTGTCTTCCTGGACAGCTTCCAGCTTTGACCCTAGGAAGAATTTAGCTCCTCCATATGAGGCTAACATCTGAGGAAGCTGATGGTTCGCATCCATCTAGAAAGAGCCCTGGTTTCACCTCATCAACCCTTTAGCCCCTAATATAAGCAACAGTGACAGCCCAGCATAAATCAGAAATCAACGAAGACAATAATCCATTACATTAAGTTTACTTAATATTTAACTGAAATAGAATCATTTCTTGTTAGAAGATATTTTTTAAATTAAATTTTAAGTAAGGGCCAACAAAATGACCCCATGTGTAATGGCTCTTCCCTGAGACCTTAGTCCAGTTCCCTCAGCTCATGCAGTGCAAGGGGAGAGCAAGTGCCTCCAAGTTTCTCTTGTACCTCCACACGCCATCCATGGCACACAACACACTCACAGACACACACTCTCTCACACAGAGACAGACATACACACGTGCACAAACACACACACACTCTAACACACACACACATGCACACACACTCTCTCACATACACACCCATACAAAGAGATTAATTTATTAAAATGTAATAAATTAAAACTTTTTAAGTAAAATGAAGCCTTTGTTGGCTATGAGCCTTAGCCTTTAATAGATGAACCATCTCTTCAACCACAAATGACTATCTTCCTAAAAGAAATGATGGCAATAGTAGATTTTTCTTTCTTTGTATAGCAAAAAATCTGTGGATACCCAAAATAATTTCTCCATGTGGAGGCTGGGGGGTGTCATTTTCCTCAAACAGGAAACTCAGAGGCCTCTGTATCACACCCCTTCAACAGAAGAGGAAGGAACTGAAAGGCCTTGGCCCAGGTTTCTTGGCTAGTTTGTGACTTACACAGAATCCTAACCCAGGGGCCAACTTGTGTGGCCATGACCTCACTGACCTCAAACAATATCTCAAGTGCAAAAGGTGATTTTCTTAGCCATTTATCATATTCAAAACTCTGTGAACTGAGATAGGAGCTAAACACATCCCCCCTGTGCTCACATCTCACCTGAGTAATCTGCCTCAGTGGTCAGAGTTCTTGCAGAAGTTGTAGTAGGGTCTCCACGAGCAGTTGCAGCTGGGATGAACTTGGCTTGAGTCAGAAAACAATATTAAGGATCGCGAACTTTTTTTTTTTTTTACAGTTATTTATTGGGGAGGGGGGAAATGTGCAGGTCAGAAAACAGTGTTCAGCTGTGAGTTCTGTCCTTTCACCATGTGGGTTGCAAACACAAAACTCAGGTCACCAGGCTTGGCAGTAAGTGAGTTTATCCGCTGAGCACTCTCCCCTGCCCAGGAATAAGGCCTTAAGCCAGGAAATCCACTGAGCAGCAGGGAACATTCGAAAGATGAGAAATAAAGAGACTCATATCCTCATCTTCAAACTTACATGACACATTCACAGAGAGGATAGCATGCACTTCAGATGTGTAACCATGGCAGGATGTGGTTGTCATTGCTACAGTCTAATTAGTGATGGTACTAACAATTACATGAGAGGTCACACTAAAGCTCTGCATAAATATCACCTTATAGAATCCTCTCAATGGCCTACATGGTAGTTAGCCATATTAAATATATTTTACAGCTTAGATTTTTGTGAAGTTAAAAAAAAAAAATAGGAAACTCAGAATCCATCTCCAGATATGGTAATGGCTTGTAGGTGGAGCCCAGGCACCAAAAGGAGATGAAGAGACAGTAAGAGTAGTGGATGGTAGTGGCTGGCTCCAAGGAAACAGTCTTCCATACCACACAGGACAGCTGCACATAGGAACTCACAGAGACATTGACAGCGCTCACAAGATATGCACAGACTCAAACCAGACAAAACCCAGCACTGAGAGGGGAAGGGGACACTGGTTCCCATTCCTACCTAAGCAGTTACTTGCAATTGAGACCAGTCAGGAAAGGAAAAATCCCATTTCCTCCAGTGGAGTATCACTGGGGCCACACTCAAGAGCAGGCCCCTTGCCAGGTAGTTAGCCAACAAAAACAGACACCGTTTGATTTTGTACACTTTTTGTTTGATATTTTTTATATTATTGGCTTTACTTGTCTGTTTTGGCTTTTGGTAGGACTTTTTGTCTTTGTTTTATTTGTGTGTGTGTGTGTGTGTGTGTGTGTGTGTGTGTGTGTGTGTGTTTAAGAGATAGAAAGTACATGAAATTGTATCAGTAGGAAGGTGGGGAGACTCTGACAAGAGTTGGAGAAGAGGAAAGAGCATGATCAAAATGTATCATGAAAAAAATAAATGAAAAATAATTTTTTTAAAAAAAGTTTCCATGTGATCTAATGATCAGGCAAAGTCTTGAACCTCTGGTCTAGGAATTTCTTCCTTCTCTAGAACCGCATCTTTGAGTATGAAAACACATGGAAGGTAGGTATATCACAGATGAGGCCTCTTCATCCTAGGTCCTCTCATTAGCTAGGGAAGTCAGAGGTCATGATCCATTGGTGATTCTTACAGACAAAGAAGACATGGAAAGGTCTACTCACCTGGTGTGATGACTAATCGCAGGTTTGACTTTTCATCATTCCCTAGACCAGGGAATTCCACCCTGCAGCAGTAGATCCCTTGGTCATCTACAGTCACATTCTCTATGGTCAGGGACACATCTCCTTTGAGGAAATTCCCCCTGAGCTGGTATCTTCCGGATTTCTTATATGTCACTTTTCTTTCATCCGTGCTGAGAACCCCATTGCTACACTGTGACCAAGGGCAGGGTCCCTTGCCCCAGCACACGGGTACAGGTGTCCCAGAGCTAGGTAGAGTGTACCTGCAGGGCAAATATGCATTCTTGCCGACCTGGACTATAAATGCGTCTTCCAAAGACCCTACACAGAGAGGGAAGGAGGGCAAGACAGTGAGAGAGTGGGTCCATTTCTGTCGGTAATGCATCCCAGAATAAAAGAGGGAACTGTGGCTGCCCTGTCGGGAGGAGGATTGACTATGCCAATGATTCTCTGACAGCACAGGAAGCAGGGAGCCCTGTTCCGACACCTGCTATGATGCACATTCCTCTAGTCCTGGGGCTTGGCAGGTGAAGACGGGAAGATTCCGAATTAGAGACCAGACTGAACTACAGAGCAAGTTCCAGGCTAGCCTGAGTGATGGAGCCATCCCTCAAAGAACAAATTAACAGGCCAGAAAATGATGACTGCTGGTAATCCCTATACTAAGGAGTCTATGGCAGAACTGCAATGAATTTGGTCAGTCTGGACAACCTATGCTCATTCCCTAAAATGTCTGCCTCCATTGGTCTGAGAAGGAACATGAGAATTTGCATTTCTCTCAGTTCCCATGTAGTGTGGGCCCTTGACTCCACCCTACCCCCCAACATACACTCTTTTCCGCCCTCAGAGAGAATTGTGAACAGTTTTTTGAAGATAAAGAACCTGGGCAAATGAAATAAACCTTCAGAAAATGGGAATTGTTGGCCAGGAAAATAGCTCACCTATCTGGGCTAGTTTTTTGTTCATTAAAAAAAAGAAAAGTAACCCCATCCTCATTTTTAGCTTGCATATTTCATACTACTCATACGTTACATTGAAGTTTAAAATAAATTCCTTTGTAATAACACATCTACATGATAATATATTCAAACCACATGAAAGACATATGAAAGCTGGACTTCCTCTCCTAATTCTTCCTACCCCCAGCTACCCCCTCCTGGAGCCCAAACATTAAAAATATCCATGTGATGCTGTTCTCCGGCAATGCTTGCACACATAATTGGACACCATCATTTCCTCTGCATCATTGTGATTGCCAGTTCAATTAGGCTACCCATTTGTATCATGGCTATTTATCAAATTTAGTCACCTGGTCTGCCACTATTGACATTTAGGTGGCTTCCAAGCATAGGCTATTACAAATAACACCAGTATGCCCATCCTGTATCTCTGTCTTGCCCTCTGTGAAATAATCTTTCCCCAACTGAAAAGGTACCAGCCCAAACTTACTTGCAAGTAGCAGTAGCAACAGCAGGAGGATACAGTTGAAAGTAAGAGGTGAAAACATTAGTATGTGGCAGGGAAATCAAAGGCCAATTCTGTGCAGGCAAAGCTTTAACTGTCCAGTTAAAATGGTACTTCCTCTAACTTCTATCTACTCCAGAATCGTGAGCGCCGACCACACCCACTGAGGTCAGCCTATTTCCCAGGGTGCCTCACCACCAGCGATTCCTCGGTTAGACTTGCTAATCTAGTCACAGCAGAGAATGTTCCTGTTCTGTGTCAAGTCACACTAGACACAGCCTGCAGGCATGCTGACGTTTATCACATGACATCAATAAAAAGGAACCCCTATTTCAGAGAAAGAAAAGTGTTAGTCACAGTAAGAGGAGGGTGTATTCTAATACCTCAGATAAAATAACCTGAGATGGTCCATGTACAAACCCAACTGGCTACCAGGGAACAAAAATATAAACATGTCACTCATGTATTCCTGCAGTCAGATCACTCTCCATCCACCCATCCATCCATCCATCCATCCATCAGCCTGTGACCAGTGTTCTTGAAGTACCTGCTTTGATCCAGGCACTGAACTGGGGAATAAAACAATGAAACCTGACATGGTGGTACAAACCTTTAATCCCAGGCAGAAGCAGGCAGATCTCTGACTTTGGGCTAGCCTGGTCTACAAAGCAAATTCCAAGACAGCCTAGACAGAAAAACTTTGCCTGGGAAAGGGAGGGGAGGGGAGGAAAGAGGAGAGAGGAGGGAAAAGAGGGGAGAGGACAGGAGAAGAGAGGAGAGGAGAAGAGAGGAGAGGAGAAGAGAGGACAGGAGAGGAGGGGACAGGAGAAGAGAGGAGAGGAGAGGACAGGACAGGAGAAGAGAGGAGAGAAGAGAGGAGAGGACAGAAGAGGAGAGGGGAGAGAAGAGGAGAGGAGAGGAGAGAGAATGTAATGAATAGTGTTATATTCCTTATCTTTTTTTATTTTTCTTTTTTTTTCAAGACAGGGTTTCTCTGTATTGCTTTGGAGCCTATCCTGGAACTAGCTCTTACAGACCACGCTGGCCTCAAACTCAGAGATCCACCTGCCTCTGCCACTTGAGTGCTGGAACTAAAGGCGTGTGCCACCAACACCCAGCTATATTTCTTATCTTTACATACATAGATTACTTTGATTTCATCCTCAGTCTAATACACCTTACAATGTAATCTATAAGTTTATTGTATCTACTTCCCTTGTTTATAATGGTTTATGAGGCAAGGAAATTACCAAGACACTGTGACATGTGGTGCGTGCTTGTAATTCCCAAACTCAGGAGGCTGAGTTAGGAGGTTCACTGAGTATGAGGCCAGCCTGGGCTACATAGAATGCCCTCTATTAATGAGACCAAAGAAGTTGTGTCAGGAATATGTGCAAAGCTCCAAAATCATTCCAACTTTGACCTTCAAACTTTCAAAATCTTCCATTTAGGAAACACCTGCTTCAGCAATGTTTCTTGCCCAGTATGTAGATAGAACAGAGTGGATCTCAATATTCCATTCCATCTCTGTTCCGCTGGAGGAAAGGGGGACTTTGAACATGAATTGCCAGAATGTGTTAAGTCCCTGCCATGTCATTATGACCAAGGTACCATGTCAGACACCAGCATTCTCAGCCACTGAAGAATGACATTTATCTAGACACCTTGAAAACCAAAGGTTTCCCGCAGAGGGAAGTCAGCTCACAGACTGGGTGATTTCTGAAAACCTGGTGGGTTTTTGCTGTATCAGTCCTTCCTAGCCCTGTCACTCACCTTGCCTTAGATGCATTTACTTTTATTTTTTATTTCATTTTTCATTCCAACCAAAGTTCTCCCTCCCACCCCTCCTCCCCCCACCCCTGCCCTGCTCCCAGCCCCCCCCCATCAACTACTCCAAACAGGTAAGGGCTTCCATGAGGAGTCAATAAAGCCTGGCACATTAACTTGGGGCAGGACCAAGCCCCTCTGTGTTAAGGCCAAACATGTCATCCCCTCGTAGGGAATGGGCTCCAACAAGCTAGCTCATGCACCAGGGATAGATCCTGGTCCTACTGCCAGGGTCCCCTCATTTAATCTAAATGTCTAACTTGTTCAGTACATGAAGTTGCACAGCACCATGCAATGAGGGATACTCAATATCCTCATTTTATAGACAAGAGAGACTCAGGGAGAATGACTGGTCCCACTGCACATGTATAGCAATTTAAAGTAAGAACAAGACCCCCCCCAAGCCCTATACTTGCATTATAAACTATGTTGCATGAATTTCATATCTTTACTGTCAACTACTATGAACAAACTGAGGGAAGTATTCCAGTACAATGGAGAGAGGCTCGGGGCCATATTTACTCTGCAAAGGCCTTGGGGAAGGCTTCCAAAGCACCAGCTGTTCTGTATCATCTATTCAATGGCAGTTCCTAGAACTGAGACCAGCTTTTACTGCCTTGCTTTGTCTTGCTTGGCTTTGCTTTGTTTGACATGAGGTTTGATGCAATCTAGGATGACCTAGATCTCTCTATGTAGCCCAGGCTAGCCTCAAACTTATCATCTTTCTTGCCCCTGCTGCCCAAGCTCTATGTTATATATATATATATATATATATATGTATATGTTATATATATATATATATATGTATATTCAATCATGCCCATTTCTTTTAGCAGCTCTGTAATACACTGATATGTATATATATATATATATATATTAACTTATTAGATCATCATTATTTTATTATTTATAAAATTGTTACTAATTTATTAAAGTACAGACATGAAAGAGTCTGTAAAGATCCACATAATCCTTTTTCTGTTTGTAAGGGACTCATTTCTGATTTTTTTCCATATTAATTTCTTTTTTTCTTAACTTCTTAATAGGTTTTTTGTTATGCTAAAACACAAGGTCAGCATCATAAATGACTACATTTAGCAATAAGCAACATGAAGGGGAGGGAAACAGAAACACAATAAAGCCCTCTGTGGATGTATTTTATAGTTTCCACGGAACATAAACTTAGATAATCTCTTAAACAAGTAGTCAAAATTAGTCCTTGAGGGCTCTTTGCCTACACATAGGAGTATACTTTATTGAATTGTTTATTTTTTAAAGTAATATTTAGTTCATTTTCTTTTTATCATTATTTTCATTTTTATTCCGTACACAGTGCCAACATGAAGGTCAGAAGACAACTTGAGGAAGTCTGCTCTCTCTTTCCACCCTGTGGGTTCCAGGGATCAAACTCAGGTCTTTTGGCTTGGTGGCACCTTTACCCTGTGAGCCAATCCATTTTCTATCGTAATGATACTCAGATGAAGTAGCATAAAGAAAAAAGTTTTATCAAGGACAGTTTTGGAGGCTCAGCATCATAGCATCAATGTTGGCTAAGCTCTGGGAGGGCCTCATGCAGAATGGCATCATGCTGGTGGGAAGGTGTGCAACGGGGAGAGATCACATGGAGATGCAGCAAAGCCGGTGAGGAGGCTAACTTGCTCTCTGTGTGACAGCCATCTTGTGTCTGTAATAACTACTTTCAGTCCCTCCAAAGATGGTGTCCTCCTCGAGATCTAGTCAAATTCCCCCTTGGGTCAACTCTTGAAAGCCTCACCTTTCAATATGTAAACTACTGAAGAACAAATAGCATCAAAGCCAGCTACGTGTTCAAATGTACAAACAGTTATAGGAATATGAAAAAACATACATTAGGAGCCTTGTTCCTACCCCACACCCCTGTAGTTATACCTTAGACTCCTACTTTCCTCAAGTCTCTGGAAACATACAAAAAAAGTGAAATGTATTCTTATTCCTTTTCATTTAAAAAAATTGTTATTAGGGGTGTGTGTGAGAGAGATAAAGAGACATCAAGAATGAGAGATACAGGGGAGACACACAGAGAAAGAGATGAGAAGGGGTAGGAGGGAGTGTCAG